GAAATGTATCTGTAGGTCATTTTGTGTTTTGGCTTTTTTCTTTTTTTGAGACAAAATCTTCCTGGATAGTACAGGCTGGGCTTGAACTCAGTATGTAGCCCAGGCTGGCCTTGAACTCACAGAGATTCTCCTTCCTTTTGGTCGTGTTTTTTTTTTTTTTTTTTGAGACGGGGTCTCACTATGCAGTTCTGGCTGACCTTGAGCTCACTTTGTAGCCCAGGCTGGTCTCGAACTCACAACAATCCTCCCACCTCAGCCTCCTGAGTGCTGGGATTACAGGGGTGAGCTACCACACCCGGCTGAGATTCTCTTTCCTTAGCTGCCTCTTCCTCAGCCTCAGGAGTGCTGGGATTACAGGCATGCACCACCACACCCAGCAATCTGTGCTGTTGGAAGCCAGTGAAATTTGGGGTTTGTTTGTAATTACTCTGCTACCTAGCTGATCCTGACTGATATTAGTAGGGAGCAGGTTGGACACATGGCTTTGATTTCTGCTGTTGCCAGTAGTAACAAGTGTCCAGCCTTGGGGGTAGAGGCAATAGCAGTGGTTTCCCAGCGGTTGCAGTAATGAGCTCCTACCACAGAAGTGCCATAGAGCTTGTAAAATTGGCAGTCACATGGAACTCTTGGTACTCAGGATTTAGAGCGGCAGTGGCTGCGGTTTCCTCGTCAGGTTGTGTGGTGTGGTTTGGGTGCTGTTGCTAGAAGCTTTGCCTCAGGTCTGCTTCCCCAGCCCTCTTAACAATTCGGAACTGAATTATCTCTTTTAACAAATTCCCTTTTTAACTCTCCACAGTGGATTCTATTATTTGTGAAAAGGAACTCTGGCTGACAAAATTACTATATTTAATAAATCTCAGATTCCATCGATTACAAGAGGCGAGTTATTCTGTGAGCTCCTAAGAAAAAAGAGGCTGCACAACTATTACATACCATCAATTGAAAAGCATGTTCTGATTTCAGAGTGGCGCAACTGGAAAAAAATGCCCCTTAGAATCAATGACATATGCTATTAGCAAATGAAAGTCCCCAAAATGAAATTGATAGGCAGTTGATTATGGTTTTAAGAAAATTATATCCAATTGTATCTATGCACCTTGTTTGTATGCCCAGCACATACACACATGCACATGCACACGCAGAACTGTATCACTGGAGGCGCTCTTCCACACTCAGTCATCATAAGCGGAGAGATCAGTGATTGCTCAATCCCAAGGACAATCCTGAGGACACCATCAGAAAGTGTAGTGCTAATAGCACTCAGTGGCACACAAAGAACTCCCCCGTATGGCCCAATCAAATCACAGGATGAGGAATCTCATCACTGTGGACAAAACCTGAGGAAGCCAGATTGGCTGACAGAGGAACTTCCCAGCCAAAGAAATGAGTCAACAAACAGATGCCAGGTTTTCTAGTCCCATCATTTTCATTATTATTCATGCCCCCCCAAAAAAATAGATGATGCTGTTGATTTGTGAATAATGCACAGTGCTTTCTTTTTATTCTCTGTTACTTTCATCTCTAAGTATTTTGTGGAAGAAAATTGTTTCAAGGTAGTCTGAAGGCAGTTAATTAAGTCTTGATGAATTTGATATGATCCTCACCCAACTTGGTTAACAACCAGAATCATGGAAAGAGTTAAGTTTGTTTAAAAAAAAATACATACATAGCAGGGCATGGTGCCTCACGCCTGTAATCCCAGCATTTGGGAGGCTGAAACAGGAGGATCATTGCGAGTTTGAGATCAGACTGACTACAAAGCAAGCTCAAGACCAGCCTGAATTGCATAGTGAGACCCTGTCTCAAAAAGATGAATATATACATATGTCTACATGTGCGCACACACACAATGACAGAAAAAGGTGGTCTGTAGTGAATGCCTGCCATTTTGCTTATTCACCTGGATTCACTTCCTCTATCAGTAATCATGCTACCGAATTTTATCTTGATACCTTAACCACTGTTGATCAGTTCAAAATTATGCAAAGTTAAGTTCAAAATTAAGCATCTAAGTTGAGGCAATCAGAATACTTTCTGAGGAATTTGCAAACTACATCCAAAAAGCAGCAGCAGCAGAGACTACCAGTACTGGTCTTTTTAGATGCTTAGACAGACTAAGATTTTAGTATTGGAAATTGTTGGAAGTCATGATTTTGAACACATGGACCATCCTGGTGCTGGAATTGGAAACCATCCTGGAGGCGGAAGTGGCAGGGGAAGGAAATGAAGAAACAGGCAGAAAGTAACAGATGAGAGATGGGATAAGATCTCTGATGGCTGTTAAGTCGTTTAGTTCCAGTGGTCACTTCAGTTCAGGCATCTCTGTCTTTGGGTATCAGTATCTGATTGCTAATGGTTTTTGTTGATGTTATTGTTGTTTTTGCTTAGACCAGTTCTCTTTCTCCCTGGGTGAGTCGTCTAGTATTCTGGCTGACCTACCACTCTGTGGCTAGTAACTTATATTATCTTTAGCCAGGGCCTACCTCCTGAAACTCAGATCTGTTTGCCCAAGTGCCTATGGCAGTCTCCACTTGGATGTCCTACTGATGTACCTCAGATTCAACATCTCCAAAAGAAATCCTCCACCTCCCCAAGTACCCTGATGAAACTCACTCTCATGTATTCTCCATCCCAGTAAATGGCAGCACAGCACCTCCAGTCACCAGCAGCATTTCCAGCTTTCCCCTCGCTTACCTCTCCTACTAAGTATCTTAAGTTCTGCCTGCTGTAGCTCCCAAAGGTCCTCAATATCCCCCTGCTCTCTTTGCTCCTGTTTCTCACCATCACTTTAGCCTCTTCTCGTTCTTTGTTCTCAAACGCTTTCATACCTATTTCTACCCAGTAGCCCTAATCATCCGTCTAATTTCTATATATGATCCCAATACTCCTCTGCTCAAAATTCTTCAGTGGCTCCCCACTACTATCAGGGTAAAATCTGGACTCCTGTAGGTAGGTCACAAAATTCATTCATATTACACTCAGAGGTGCATCAGTATGCCTCTTCTGTTTCCTATAACTGATCTGATCTTTCTCACAATAGCCTCACCCTGCTGTGTTGCAGGGGGAAAACTAAAATTAATCCATTTGGTCAACTTCATAGGGTCCAGAATTTGTTTTAGACAGTCTCTAACTCAGTAGTTTTGGATGACTCAGTCTTTCAAATTATTTTATCCTTTTTTCTTTATGATACAGTATGTGGATTTCCAGGGATCTTAAGTGAATTTCACAGCATTGAAAGAAGGAACCCCTTTAGGCACCTGGTCCTTGGGGGTTATCAGCTGACATTTACTAAAATGTGGTTTGTCTGACAGAAAGGAATAAGCAAAACTTCTAAGCCTACCATAGCCATTCTACAGACAAGGAAGCTGAAGGTGAGAGGGTAACAAACTTGCTCAAGTTCACAAAGTAAGTGGCAGACCCAGAGATTCTGATTCCAGTAGGCGCCTGGCTATGAGTCTAGGAGCGCAGATAAAAGCCACGGCTGGGTGTGGAGGCACTCCCAGCCTTCCTGACGCTGCTTCAGAGATGTGACTGACCATCCACGGAGAATACTGTATAACAGCGAGATAAGAAGAGGACCTAGGCCAGAACACTCAAGAATCACAGGAAGGGTGGAGGTTTTGGATTCATTCCCAGTGGGCAAAGAATGACCGGCACGGGAGGGTCGGGCAGGGGAGGCCACCTGACTGTTCCTGAACAAACTTCTTCCTCAGGACTCCTTCTAGGATGGAAAGAGTCAGGAACCTCCCCCCCCCCCCCCCCCCGGGGATCGGATCGAACTCACGACCGCCTGATTACAAGGCAGGTGCTTATGCCGCTGAGCTAAATCCCCAGCCCCAAGAGTCAGGACTTCTACAGGCCTGGATGTATTCCAACCAGGACTGAACCCCCTTCAGGTTACCCCACTCCTCTCTGTCCAGGATCCATCATAGCACAGCAAAACACAAAGTAGCAGTCAGCACAACTGGGCGGGAACTGTTACATGCAGCTGAGATCTTCATGCCACTTCCTGGGGCCAGGACGTGCGACGTTAATGACAAACTCTGAAGTGCGGATGCAGGTGGGCGTGGGTGTGCAGGACGACAGGGGGATTCCTAGACGGGGAGGTTTGGTGTCCCGGGGGTGGGGGGGCCTTCTTACTGGTGACTGCATGAGACCTCACCCAGGTAGGAGTGGTCTCCTCAGACGCGGTTTTGCAAAGCACTTGGCCTTTCTCGTATGTTAAGTGTATAGCAATTCTAGGTGTGGAAGGTGTAGAAACCCCCGCAAGAAGGTGGCCTCGCCCCACCCCCACCCCCACCCCCACCCTCACCCTCACCCTCCACCCCGCACCACCTCGCGGGACAAATCCAGACAAAGTAGACCCTCAGCTCCCGCCCCGCCCCCGGCCCCGCCCCCCAGCCCGGGGCGGCTCTGTCCCACCCCAGAGTACGACCAATGGCATGGCAATGTGGCGCGCCCAGCCAATTGAACTGGGGCAGCCGCGGAGGTGGCTCCGCCCCCCACAGGCAGCAAGCCGCCGGCCACCCGGGAGGCGGGGCTCTTCGCTGTTTTTGAGGCTGGCCGAGCTCGATCGAGCTCAGCCGATGGTCGCCGGCCGTAACCGAGCTCCGCCGAACGCCGCCGAACCCCACGCCGTTCCCGCCGCCGCCTCTCGAGCGAGCGAGCGCCGCGGCAGCGGAGGAGGCGCCGCCCCAGGGGGAGGAGGTGCCGGCTCGCCGCAGACCGCCCGCGGCAGAGGCCGCCCGGGTCGCGCCGCGGCGGGAGCGGCTGAGGGGGAGGCCCGGGGGAGTGGACGTCTCCCCTGCCTGCCTCCCGCCTCCCGCCGCTCTTCGCCCCCCGCCCGCGGGCTTCCGAACCTCAGTCGGCGCCGAGCATTCTGCTGCCCCGGACCCTCCCGCGGGCGCGCACCGTGCCGAACTCAGGTAAGGGGGCCTCCTCGCACAGGCAGTGAGGGCGAGACCCGGAGACCCGAGACGAGACGAAGAGACGCGGACCCACACGGAGACAGACACGCGCCGGAGGAGAGACAGACACAAAGGCAGAGAGAGAGCGGGAGACGCACAGAACCACCGAATCAGCCCCTACGGAGAAGGGGAGAGAGACACGTCCACGAAGACAGAGGGACACATAGCCGGGAAGGGAGGGACACAGAGACATGCGGAGACTGGGAGAAGAACGAGACACATAAGACACTCGGACACTTAGCGATGGGGACGCACAGAGACAAATGCGAAGAGATACCCAGAGAGACAGGCAGCCACGCACGGTGACAGAGGTGGGTATGCAGAGACAGAGGCACACATCCAGCAAGGGAACAGAAACAGAATGGGACAGCCAGGCAGCCAGACACACACCTAACCTAGAGACAGTTCCACAGGGAGGCACACCTAGGTACACAGCCTTGGATACACAGAACGCACACATGCTTGCCAGGGCCTCCACAAGTTCCCTCTGTGTGAGTTGGCACCACTGCAGGTCTCCTAGGCTGGCTGGCTGGCTGCAGTCTCGAGAGAGGTGGTGCCCTGGGCACACTAAAGCTGACCAAAAGCCCCTTCCTTCCGGGGCTTGAGCTCCCACAGTCCCACCATCAATGGGGTGCTTTTGAGGCCCAAAGCTTGTTGGGCAGAGCCAAGCTGTGCCCACCAGTTCTAAGGAGAATGAGTTAAGAGCCTGTCTATAGCTTCCCCACTCTGGCTACACCTGAATCCAGGTGCTCAGGGGTAGTAGGCCTGAGGATGGGGATGTTGGCAGTGTTGGATATGTGAGCCTGCTGGGACCTGAGGTCCACTGCCAGGGTAGCCAGAGATGTGATAGGAGCCCACCCCTGGCCTCCCCGCTTCCTTCATCCTCACCACAACCCCTCCTTTGCTTTGTATTCCCCAGGCTCAAAGACTGCAGGTGGGCACCTGGGAATCACTCTGTGCAAGACAGGACAGCCTCCTTGAAAAGCTGACCATACGGAGTCTGATTCGGCATGGGCCTTGCCACTGAGGCAGCTCTGCTCTCTGTGCTGATCTGAGGGTGCTGCCTGTCATGGGGGCAGCCATCTCCCAAGGGGCCCTCATCGCCATCGTCTGTAACGGCCTTGTAGGCTTCTTGCTGCTGCTTCTTTGGGTCATTCTCTGCTGGGCCTGCCACTCTCGCTCTGCTGACGTTGATTCTCTCTCTGAATCCAGTCCCAACTCCAGCCCTGGTCCTTGTCCTGAGAAGGCGCCACCACCCCAGAAGCCTAGCCATGAAGGCAGCTACCTGCTGCAGCCCTGAAGGCCCTTGGTCTACCCTGGAGCCTGGGACCTAAGCCTGGAATCAGGATCTCCAAGTTGGGTCAGCCTGGGGTCCAGAACTACTTGGATCTGGACCCAACAGCCCAGACTCTAGCCAGCCTGGCTCCAAGAGAGGCTCTGGAGAGATAGGCTTGGGGTGGGAGTTTAGGAGTTGGTGCTAGGGCCAGGGCCATCTGGACTCTGCTCCATCCCAAGGGCCAAGGGCTGGGTTTACCCTTTCCCTAGGCCTAGCGCCTCTGCGTCTTCTAGGTCAGAGAAGCAAACCAGAACCTATGGCAATAATGGGAGGGTGTCTAGGCTGGGCCCCTCCCCAGGTCCTCTCACTGTTTGCTGAATAATAAATGGAACTATGGCTCTACCCTGAGATTTTCTTCCTTTGCTGAAGACCCTGTGGTACCAAAATTAAAGGTGCAGAATGAACTTCCAGACAAAGGTTTATTTGTATAAAATAACACAAGGGTTTGGTGATTACCAAACACTAACCCTGGAAGATGCTGGGACCTTAAGGAACAGGATGAGAACACCACATGCTGGGACCTGACCGGGGCTTGGTTCATATGCTGAGTGCATGGGCATAATGGTTCTCAGCCCAGGGACTGCAAGTCCTGGGTTCAGTGGAGCAGGGACCAAGGCCGGGCCCTCAGGTTTTGATTTTCACTTCCCTCACGAGATTCAGCAGTTTGTCCAGTTTTGCAATCTCCACAGCTGGACCCTTCTGTACTTCCTGCCCTTTCTTTTCCTGGAGAGAGGACACATATCCAGTGGAGGAAGAATAGTGAGGATTGGTAGCTTTCACTGGGTGTCAGCCCCAACTACTATACCCAGTCTGCCCTGGCTCTGCCCTTCTCCCTTGCCCAAGAAGTTTTATGTCCCTGCTGCTCCTCCTTCCATGTGTTCCTTTTCCAACTCAGGTGACCTGGGGCCTACTGAGATCCTATAAGAAGGCATCCGGCTCTGGTCATAAACTTCAGTTGGACAGTGTCTTGCAGGAGTGGGAAAATGCACCCATCCTTAGACCCTCAGAGGAATGAGCCTCTCAGGCTGTACCAGTAGCTCTGGGGAAGGCCAGGTCTGGCTGTTGGGAATACCTTCCCATAGGAAGGGCAGACTCCTGTCAAGGAGCTAGTTGGTGGGTGTTTTGTTTTATTTATTTATTTTTTGTACAGGTCATTGAACTCACAACCTTGCGCTTGCCAAGCAGGCACTTGCACCACTGAGCTAAATCCCCAGCCCTAGTTTGTGTTTTGAAGATGCAGAGAGATGTGGACAAGGCCGTAGAGGCCCTTATCTTGTTCTCTTACTGAATACTTTTAGGTCAGGGTCAAGGTAGGATGTGGTTTGGTGCCTAGACCTACTGTGTCAAACATACTCAGGGTGGAGGTCTCAGGAGACCCATGAAAGAAGATAGAGTATCCCGGGTGACTCTAGCTGTCATTGGCTGGGACTGACCCTCGCAGGAGAAGATCCTGGATTTATGACCTTCAGCCTACTGACAGCAGTGTAATGCTTCTGCTGGTAAGTTGGGCCCTGAGGAAAAGGAGTCCAGATGCTGGCAGCTCACCTTGAGGAACTGCTTGGTGGACCACACCAGCTGCATCTTTCCCGCTTCCCAGACAGGAGGCTGTGGGCTCTGCCCGGGCAGCTCATGGGCCTCTACCCGCTAAGCCACCTGTGCCCACTGCTTACTGGTACCTGCCCCAGCCTGGCCTGCCTGCTTGGGTCTGGCCTGAGCTGTAAGTGGGAGAGTGTGGGGACGGGAGGCCCCTTCCTTGAGAGTTTGTTTGGAGCTTCTAGCCAGGAAAAGCAGATGCTTGGATGCCCTTGACCCAGAACAGCCCTCAATCAGGGATACTTGTCCTCTTCACCCAAGCACGTTAGGGACACAAGTGGGAAGGGCACACATGGTATGTTGAGGGAGGAAGGGGACACCCACCTGGCCAGCTGCATCAACCAATATCAACCCTGGCAATCTGGGTGACAGCGATCATAGCCAGGTCACCCTCAGTTCCAGGAGGCCCTTTCCTGACTCCTTCCTGGGTGTTGACACCACTTTCAACTCCTATCTACTCCCAGATCTGTCTTCCCCAGGGCCATAGTCATTACCTGGCTCAGCTCTACACTCCAGAGGCAGCAGACAAAGAGATCCTTTTCTCTCTTCCCATTGGCTAGGGATGAGGTGGCCTCACCCTCATCCCCTGGGATTTAGGGACCCCTTTTACTGGGGGAAGGTCTGTTTTTCACACTAGGACTTGAACCCAAGGCCTTTGTTGTATCCCCAGCCCTGTTATTTTTTATTTTGAGATGGGTTTTTGCTATGTCACTGAGTTGCCCAGGTTGGGCTCAAACTTGGAATTCTCCTGCCTGTCTCCCAAGGAGCTAGGATTACAGGCATGTGCATCATTCCTGGCTTGGATGTGGTGTTTAGTTCCAGTTGTCATTAACTCCCTATATGACTTTAGTTTTTGTTTTTGTCTTTTCTTGAGATAGGGTATTACTGTGTAGTTTGGATTGGCCTTGAACTCACTTTGTAGCCCAGGGTGGCCTCAAACTGATGGAAACCCTCCCGCCTCAGGAGGGATTACAGGTGCTGGGATTACAGGTGTATGCTACCACACCCAGCTGTTCTTTGCCTTTTTGAGCTTCAGTTTCCCATCTGAACAGTAGTTAGTGAAAAGTCTTTGATGCCTGACAGCAATCACAGGAAGCTTCCCGAGCAAGGATGCCCAGGCTCTGTGATAATCCCTCTAGGGAAGGGCAGTAGGAAAGCCCAGAGGACCTCCTTTTGTATGAATCACTTGGCTGCTGATAGTGAGATGTAAATTTTACAGAAACCTTTAATATATCCAAGTACCAACCCCCAGCTGTCCCCTGCCCAGATCCTCAAAGATAGAGACCCCAGGAATATAGTATAGCATTCCCAGCCCATCATTCCCTGACCCTTACTCTTTGAGGAGTTGGAATTGGGAACCTCTTGCCTCCGCTTCCCTAAATCAGAGTGGGTAGGGCTCCTGCCCATATCTACTATTCTCATGATGTCAGGGCTGTGCTCTTCCCCCAAGAGTGACCACCACCCCCCCCCAGCTGTCCAGCTCTGCCAATTTAAGCCTCATTAAATTAAGAACAGATTTTATCTGTTCCACAAATTGTGCTGCCTTGTTCCTCCTCCTGAGGCCAACTAGCTGGGCGTAGCAAAGAGATTCAGACCCCGCCTGATCCCCCCCCCACCCAAGCCCACCACAGCCTCTGGGCCACAGCTGCAGGCACTTAGCAGCCTTCAGAATATTTATAGCCAAGTCCACCCCCCTCCCCTAGCTGGCTACAATTACAGGTCCAGCCGTTCTTCCAGCCCTTCCTTCCAAGCCAGCACCAGAGGGATGCTACAAATGGCCCTTCCCTAGGTGAGGGCATTGTAGAGAGAAAGCAGTAGCTAGAAGAGACAGACTTCTGCCCCTGCCTCACATTGCATTAATGCCATAAATTGCCAGGAGGTATGGTTATTAGGACAGTCTGGCCCAGAACCTTCCTGTGATTGCTGTCAGACAGCAAAGAAGCATTTTTCATTCTTCACACACAAATGGGCAGGACTGGTCTCCAGATTCTTGGGCTTTGAATTTTTAAGTTTCATCCTGGGGCTTTGGAGTCTAAGATCTGGGCTTTGAGGTCTGGGTTCTTAAGTCTGAATATGCACTCCGGTCTAGGCTGAGGTCATGGTGTTCAGACTGTAGCCTATATTTCGGGCCCTTGGGCTCTAAGCCAGGTTCTCTGACCAGTAGAGACTCTACAGCAGAAACCAGAGCTCAGGAAGAGAACTGTGTAGCTGCTGACCTAGGTAGTCTCCTCAGCTCATTTCCTCCTTCCCTGAGTACAGTTCCTAGCTCGAGGACCACTTGGACTGAAGTGCTGAGGAAGCCCAATAGTGAAGCATTGGCTAGGTCTCAAATCCCCTGCCAGGCTGGCATCCTCTGCTCCCAGTGAGCCACTGACACCCTCACTCGTGCCTCTCTGGCTTCAGACACACATGCTCACTGGTTATCACCTCCCTGGCCCACAGTGACTCAGATATAGCCTGTCAGCTCCTCTTTGTTCTCACAGACCACCTTCCCCTGTGTCCTCATTCATGCAAAGACACCATCACTTCCCTGAGCCTTCCGAGTCTGAAGCCTGGTTCACCCTGTGTCCTCCCCTTCAGCTTGTCCACTCTTACCTTGGCAATGGGCCACTGCCAGCACTCATACCTTTGGCATCTTGCGCAAGTTGGGCGAGAGCTTGAGGCAGGTGATATGCCCGCGGTCATCGCCCACGATGATGATGGGGTAGATGGGGTTGAACTCCACGTGGGTGATCTTAGTTTTCTTCCTGGCCACCACAGGCTGGTTGCAGATGGCCTCATACTTGTTGATGGCCAAGTCAAACACGTGGACCTGTGGACCAGACTCAGCATACTCAGGGGTGATGAGGCCCTGGCCACCCCCTGTGAGAACCAGCCCTGGACTTTCTACAGAAGGCTAACAGCATATAGAGCTGGAGGCAGTGGGAGAGGAGTTGTTTTGTTTTGTTTTGCTTCAGTTGGGGGTGAGAATAAAAGTTTAGGAGGAGCGTTACGCTTATGATATTTACCGTGTACCACGTTGGCACCATCTAGTTACATTTCTTACAACTGTTTTATCAGGCGGCTCTGTTAGTATTATCCTATCTTATAAATAAGACTTAGAAGTGTGTTAACTTTTAGTAGGCAGCAGAGCCAGGCTTTACCCAGTTCATAGATGTTAAGTGTTTAGACAGCGCTTGACACACAAGTGCTCAGTAAGTGTCTAACGTTATCTTTGTCACACTGTAAATTCAAGCCACTCCCAACTCTCACCTGGACTATGGTGGCAGCCCCCTACCTAGGCTGCTGCTCCCACCCTTGGGTTCCATCATTCATGGAGCAGCCAGACTTCCCTTCAAAAACTGAAAATCTTCCCAGCGTCTCCTTAGCAACATGGATGAAACCTGGTTCCCCTCACTATGATCCCCACATCGCCCCTGTGCTCCCTGCTCCCCAGCCACACCTGCCTTCTTATGCCTGGACCCCCTCCTCCAGCTCATGCCCACCTCCAGGTGTTTGAGCTAGAGACTTCCTCAGTGTGGGTGGCTCCACCAGCCACCCCAGCTTCCTAAGCTGGCTCCCCGTCACCCCACTCTCAGCTCGGATGTCACCTCTTCAGAGAAACCTTTCCTGACCACTCTGAGAAACTACCCATCCTTTTCTTCTCTTTTTTTACCAACTTCATTGAGATTTCATTCACACACTATAAAATTTGTCTACTTAAAGAATACAAGTATTGGTTTTTAGTATATTCACAGTATGCAACCATCACCATTCCCAATTTGAGAATGTTTTTATCACTCCCAAACGATCTTTGGATCCATTAGCAGTCACACCCCATTTCCTCCCACCCCTTCTACCCCTAGGCAACTACAAACCTACTTTCCAAGCCTGGAGATTTGCCTATTTTAGAATACTGTACTATGGACTGGGCATTTTGAACATCCTGTATAAATGGAATCATACACTATTTGCACTTTTGTGTCCAGCTCATTTGGCTTAGCATGATTTTCAAGGGTCCTCTGTTGCAGTGTCTATCAGAATGCTCTTCCTTGTCACTGCCGAATAACAGTACTTTTGCATGTATAGTGTATTTTCTATGTCCATCAGCTGATGGACGCTGGGATGCTTCATTCTTGCCTAGGGTGAATAACTACGGCAGACCCTGCGGAGGAGCATGGTGCCCAGGCCACATCACCACAGCTGAGTCCAGGTCCTAGCTGAACATGGGGGTTCTGCACCGGTAGGAGGCTGAAACCCATGACCCTGTGAAAAACACTTGCGTTCACACGTCACCTTCTGTTCATTTGCTGGCTTTTAGCAGCATGAGAACTTTGATGCTGTTGCTTTTTGCCTTTTTCTCCCTTCACTGTCAGGTAAACTTCCTAAGTGCAGTATCTCAGGCTATGGAGCTGGCTCCATAGTCGGCTCTTGGTAAGCATCTGCTCAGGGAATTGATGACTGGCCAACTTCAGAGTGATTTCTTAATCACAATGTGCTTCCTTTGTGGCAGCAGGTGGGTTTCAGTCTATATTAAATTCATAAGGAAAACAGATTTGCATCTAAAAACTTGCTTGGAAAATGTCTCTGCTTTCACTGACCCTCAGTGTTGAACAGATGCCTCTCACCTCACCCCTCTAAAGCCTCTTCTCAGAATTAGCCTGCAAACTCTCAGAGATGGGGACCTCACTCAGCACCTCACAGACAAACCCTCAGACAGATGGTTCTGGTGCACGTCCCCTGCAGCCGAGGCTCCCTGCCATCGCTGGCTCCTCCCCAGGGCCCTCAGAGAAGATGGCCTGCCTTCCTTCAGAGCACCCTTCTCTCAGCTGGACAGCCCCCTTCTCTCCTTGAGGCCTCTTGTGATGAATGGCTCCCTCTTGGCTGGATCCTGAATGGCCTGGCTCTTGGGGAGGGAGACCCTGAGACACCTCATCCTGCCCTCAGCAGAATATCTGTGGGTCAGGAACGGGCCGCTCACCTTCCCATCTGTGGTGACTGCCGCAAACACTGTGGAGGAGTATGGAGCCCAGGCCACATCACCCACAGCTGAGTTCAGGTCATAGATGAACATGGGGGTTCTGCATTGGAAGAAGAGGGAAGCCCGTGACCCAAGGCTCACAGGGCCAGGGCCGAGGGGAGGGCCGGGCCAAGGCAGAGCCTCACTTGATGGTGTGGTCCCAGATCTTCACTGTCCAGTCGGAACTGCAGGACATGAAGACCTTGGTGTGGTAGGGGTTCCAGGTCACAGCATCCACCGCCATGTTGTGGGCATCATAGGTGTCGAGGAATTGGCTGGAGTAAGATTTCGAGCACTGGGGTCGAGAGATCAGAGGATAAAGTGAGAGGCAGGTCAGCGGCTGCTACTTCCTTGGAGCCCTGGAGGTCCATATCCCATGACACTGTCACAGCTAAACTGGAGCAGAGCCTCAGGCTGTTTTTCCCTCCCTCCTCACACTCGAAGAGAAAGGAGGCGCTTAGGATTTGGGCTGTGTGGGGAAGCCGTGCTGTAGCAGCAGGGCAATGCTGCAGTCTGCCCAGGGGACCTGAGGAGCTCCTAAGTGAGTCAGAAAAGTCCTGTCCTCCCCACCCAGAACATAGCGTGTCTCAGGCCCTGTGGGAGGGGACAGCCATTTCTCCAGGTAAAGGGCCTGAGGGCACAGGGAGCACTAGGTCTACCACAGCCCAGACAGCACCTTTACAGCAGTGAGAAATGCTCTACCTTGAACAGATAAGAGCAGGTGCTGAGCCAGGAGCCCACTCTGATCCCCAGATTTCTCCTGCAGTTTATTGTCCTGACTTGCCAGCCTGTCTGCCTCCCACTGGGAGCCCGTGACTGACTTTCCCAAGCTGCCAGCAGGAGGGGTGGAGAGGGGGTGGGGACTCTTTTGCATTCAGACCAGCTCTGGCTAGGCCTCAGGGGCTCCCGGGAGGCTGCCTGTAATTAACATTCTGAGTCTCTGAGCCTAAGAAAAGCTTGCAGCAGAGCTATTTCTGGACAGATGGAGGTTCAGAGGATGTTCACCTACTAACACTGACACCGTGCAGAGACCGGCTGCGAGGCTGTGTCCTGCCGGCAGGGAGGAACCCGGCATTCGGAGATCAATCTGCCTGTTATCTGGCCCTCAAAGCCCACTGGGTCAGCGTTCCTCCAGGAAGTCTGCCCGGAATGTTCCTACTCCTCATCCCCTACTCCCACCTAGGCCGCCACCCCTAGAAAGGAGGGAGAACCCAGAGGGGAGAGGTTGGGCTGGGCTAAAAGGCACCCTCGAAATTCTCCATTCCCTGTCTTTCCTTCGCATATCCCCTCTTGCCACCCAAGCAGAGTAAGAACTGCATTCTCTTCACCCAGAAGCCTTGTCCAACTAAGGAGCGTAAGGCTCTGTCAGGGCAGGACTGCTAAGTACTTGAAGCTCCCAGGTGCTCAGGTCCAAGGGGTCCCATGAGGCACTACACAGGAAGAGCTGCCTCACCTTGTAGATTTTCCCCTCCTCTGTGCCCACTAGGAACATGTAGTCGATCTCTTTGTGGAAGTCAAAGGCAGTGCCACAGCCTTGAAAGAAGAAGCAGCAGCCTCAGCCCGGTTCTGTGAGGGAGCCTCCAGCACCACCCATCCTTGGCAGCAGGGACTCAGCTCGGGGCAGGGCAGATTGACCTGGGGCCCCATGAGGGCTAGGCTAACAGAAAGCAGCTCTCTAGCCTGCTTGTCCCAAGCTGTTAGGGCTCTGCAAACAGCCAGGGGTTCTGTAGCTGGAATGGGGGCCTGGGTAAACAAGGCGGGGATTGAGTTAAACAGGGTCGGGGTCAAGGTAAACAGGGACAGGGTCGGCGAGCAGGGACGTGGTCTGTGCAAACAGGGATATAGTCTGCATAAACAGGATGGGATTTGAGTAAACAGGGAGAGGATCTGGGTAAACAGGGCCTTCATCTGCATAAACAGCGCTGGATCTGCATAACAGCACCTGATCTGCATAAACAAGGGGTCTGCAAACAAAGAGGGGACCTGTGGGATGGAGAGCTCTGCAGTGGCCAAGCCCACAGGTCGGGCTTCCCACGCCTGGGGCCAGGTTCAACACAAGCAGGTGGGAAGGACTGGTAAAGTACCCTTCAGGGGACCTGAATGACCTAGCAGGCCGGGGGTGAGTGAGGTGGGCGCCTACCCACTGTGTGCAACTGCAGCCCCTCGGGGACGTCTGTGGTGCTGCCCTCCACCTTAAGCTTGATGACATCTGTGTGAACCAGCTCGCTCTGAGTCACAGGATGGGGAAGGTGTTGGTTTAGGCTTGATCAGCAGACCTGGGGGGGTACTTTTGCCATCCAGCTCCCCCTCCCCCATCCATTCCTGTGCAACCCTCTATGGGAATCAGGTACCTTCACAAGTGTCCAAGACACGATCCTTCCATCAGATGACACGGAGAAAAAGTTAAGGTTGTGGTCCATGTCATCCTTCTGCCACTTGACCTGCAACATCTTAATCATGAGCACTGCGACTCCCCTGGGGTGTGGAGTTAGGGATATGAAACCAGGCTCCCCCAAGCACCCATCTAAGGCTCAAGCAAATTCTAGCTGGGCATGGTAGCACACGCCTGTAATCCCAGCATTTGGGAGGCTGAGGCAGGAGGATTGTTGCAGGTTCGAGATCAGCCTGGGCTACAAAGTGAGTTCAAGGCCAGCCTGAACAATCTGCATAGTGACAGCCTGTCTCAAAATGACAAAAAAGAGAGAGAGGCAAGTTCTGAGAGACCATTTCTCAGAATGCCATGGCCGACACCTTCCCGTAGCTATCGCTATCTGTTTCTCATCCCTGTTTCCTTGGCCAACCTGACCAAGCCACAGCACCAGCAGGGCTTTTCCCTTATCTAACAGCCTGGTAGGAGAGCCAGTTCTTCTCTGTGTTGGTTCTTGAAGCCCAGCTGTGGGAAGTAGGCAATGGTTCCGGATTCAGCCTTCTTACAGAGACACGGCCTGGAAAGGACGAAGCCCAGCAGCCAGCTTCCTCCTTATTCCATGAAAGTCCTGGTGGCCTTGGCTTATTGTGATGGGCAGTGAGAGTGAAGCCCTAGGTCAGAGCACTGCACACACTCAGTGTCCAATAAACACTAGCTGGTGTCCTCATTCTTACCCACATCCTAGAAACTCAGCGCCAAGCTTCGGCAGAGGCCTTTCCCTGCTGCCTGAGGTTGGGTGGGGAAGGGGAGAGGCATGCCCTCCCCTCCGCCCCTCCTCTTCCAGGCTTAGCCTTCTGGGAAGTGACTCCTTTGTTCTCTTCACTCCTGCTCCCAGAATCTGGCTCCCAAATTCCAGATTGGAGCTGCATTTCTCCACCTGCAAATCAGGGTTAATTATCCTCCCCACCCATCTTCTCAGGGCTGAGGCAAACATAGGGAAAGTATTTTGGAGACAGAGCTGTTGTCTTATGAAGATGACACGCTTGAGGCTCAAGTTTCTGTTGCCAGATGTGGAGGCCTTGCCAAGCCAAGCCCCAGAGAGCGGGGGTGGGGCTGGGTGCCCAGAGCTTTCTGTCCTCCGACCCCTCCAGACCGCCCATGCTGGGACCATGGTCCAGTCCCCTCCCTGTCACAAGCAAGGGCCCAGTGAGGAAGGCCAAGAACTATCGTTGTTGCCTGTAACCACATCTGTCACCATTGCTGCTGGGGACTGGGGAAAAAGGCCTGTCTCTTCCCAGACACCTCCCAGGCCTGGTGCATTAGAGCCGAAGGAGGGCTGCGTTCTGCCCAAGCCTGTCTGGTCCGTGGTCTCTTTTGCGCTTTTGCTGGAGGGACAGAAGCTGCGGAGTCTGTCTTGCACAAGGCAGAGTCCACTGTGACACTGAGCCCACTTTCCCTTTTGGGTAAAGGTAGTCCCTTTAAAGCAGGGCGGGAACAAGGGTGTCAAAGGCCAGACTGCAAGAGGCACTAGGGAGCTGCAAAAGGAAGTGTTTAATGAGCAGAGGCGGCCAGCACTGGAGGGAACTATTTCACACCGCCTGCCCAGCAGCAGCCTGATGCCTGGTGGGGGTGGTGTGTATGCAAGTGACACTCTGTGTGTGTGTGTGTGTGTGTGTGTGTGTGTGTGCACGAGTCACACACTGCTCCTGGAAGGCAGGTGATAGGCAGGAATAAAGCAAAAGGAGGGTAGTAAGTAGAGTTAAGGCAAGAATGATAACCACGGAGCAGGTGGTACCGTGGAGCCTGTTCAGCTGATCCCTCCTCTTCTCCTGCCTCCTGTTCACCTGTCCCTGGCTTTTGCTCATACACCCTTCCCACTCCCTTCCCCAGAACTGCATGGCACAATTCGCCATTGCTGGCTGAGGCTTCACAGGAGGGCCTAAGCAGGGCTGAGCGACCCAAGGCGGCTCCCTGGAGAAGCAGCTTGTCCTATGAGACAGGAACCTAGGCTCCTTAAGATGTGACAATTTCATCCCAGCTCTAAAAATTTTCATAGCTCCCATCACCATTGGGACAGACCCTTCTGCTCCAATGTGGTATATGAGGTCCAAAACCACCTCCCCGGTCTCCCCTAAATACCTTGGGCACAGACCTTTTATGAAAGACCTGACAGCTCTTTAACCAGCCTGGCTCTCTCTCTCCTTCAAGTTCTTCTAGTCAACTACCCAGAAAACTTCTTGGTGTCCCTCAGGCTTCTTACATCAACATCTGGTGGCACCAGTTCTTCTGCCTTTTTTTTCACTTCTGTGCATGCCCTCCTGGGCACCTGGTAGGTTTGTATTCAGTCAATGTCCTCCTCCTCCTCCCCCTTCTACTCCCCCTCCTTCTCCTTCTCCTTCTTCTTCTTCTTCTTTGGTCTTTTTGAGACAGGGTCTCACTGTGCAGTTCAGGCTGGCCTCAGACTCACTTTGTAGCCCAGGCTGGTCTTGAACTTGCAGCGATCCTCCTGCCTCAGCCTCCCAAGTGCTGGGATTACAGGTGTGCCACAATGCCTGACCTTCAGCCAATATTCTTTCTATTATTTTACTGCCCCACAGGTCTCCTCCCTATCCTCATTTTCACCTGACTGCCCCACCCTGTCCAGCCTGCAGTCTCTCTCATGCTGCAGCCAGAGGGTCCCAGACACAATCTTGACTGTTACTCTTCCCCTCCACCCCTCTAAAAATTGGGCTGCAATTTCCAAATTGTGCCCAGGGGGAATCTTAGGAGTCTCGGAACGCACCTAAGGACCCTAGACAGGCCGGGTCCCAGTCTTAGCAGAGCAGCTCCACACTCATCTTTTTGCCATACTGGTGGCTCCTAAATTGACACTTCGCTTAAAACCACTGACCCACAAAGTCCAAGTTTCCTGACTGGATTGCTAGGCATCCTGGGTGCTGTCTCTTCCTCACCTCTTGCCCCCTCCAACTGCCTCACACATGCTCTGGGTGACAGTGTTTCACAACAGGCCGCTCAGTTTGAAGCTGTGTGTCACTGCCCAGGAGTGACATGTCCCTTGTGTCCCTTTTTACTCCTCACCATTCAGCTCAGGCACTGCTTCCTCTCGAAGGTCTGCCTGGCCCTCCTCCTAGTCTTCCAGTCTCCACTCAGGACAGTGTAAATCCACCTGGGTGTACCCCTCCTTCAGCACTCAGCACTCTCACCTGCCCTGGCAGTCTGAGGTTGTGATTTATCTTCCTACCCCAGACATGAGGCCCTCAGGCATCCTCAGCAAGGAGCAGAGCACATGGGGAAGAGTTAGTTACTGACGGGGTGACAGAGGAAGAGAGAGAGGGCATGAGAGAAAAAGAGACAGGATGTAAGTAGATGAGTGAGTGATGGTTGTGTCCCATGACTCTAACCAAGAATGGTGCTCCATTTGGCAAGGGCCACAGTTCTGTTTCCTGGCAGGACAGCGGGAGAGCAGGCCATGCCTGTCCAGGTGAGTTCCAGATTTCTGGGGGTCCTGTCCATGCAAAGGGTAACATTTTTCTCTGTGTCCCTCTTTACACCCATCGGCTGTTTGACTTGGAGAACACCACGGAGTAGGAGTGGGATAGTTGGGTCTCCCTCCCTCTCCTGGAGTTGATAATGGTGGTCAGGTCATCTTGGCATGCTCTGTGCTTGGCATGCTCTGAGCTGTCTGAGCTGGCAAAACTGGGACAAGATAGGATGACAGCCCTGTTCTCCTCTCCCTGGGCTTTAAGGTCTCCACAGACATTCCTCTGATGTCCAGGGACCTTCAGGTACCGGAGGCAACAAATCGGGAGGTTGACTTTCTGGTGGAGAGCACTCCTGAGGCCAAAACCCCTGGTCCCAGCCTTGTGGGGAGTAGGAGGGAAGGTAAGTCTCAGAAAGGGCAGCTTCGTGTCTGCATCTGCCCCACACTCTGGGCAAAGGACACTAAGAGGGCATGATGTCCTCCGCACCTGGGTAGTTCGCCCCTGCTCAGGCATGTACAGGAGCTCACCCTGGAGCAGGTGACCATGTCTGAGCGCCCAAGGCCAGAAGAGGCAGAGAGAGCCTTCCTCGGGACTTTCAGGCCAGCAAGGCAGAGAAAGACAAGATGACAGAGCCTTGGTGCTGCCCGGTGAGCCCGGAGACTGGGGAAATGAAGCAGAAACCCATCCTTTGATCCCCGCAGACCTGCATTCCCCTTGCCCCCAGTGCCTTTAGGACAGTAAGAAACAGCTTACAAAGCCTGAGCTAAAAGACCCTCGGAGAGGCTCAACAGTGAAACCCGCTCGCAGTGGAGTAAGATGGGAGACACAGGTCAAGGTGAAGTCTAGTGCCAGGGTGCTGCTATTGGTCCCCGGCTGGTCTCATACTATAGAAGAAGCCCAGCCCACCCCGCTATCCCTGCCAAGGCCTGTCTGGAGAAGCAAGGTGCTACAGAGAGGCTCAAGGACAGACTGCCTTCAACCCTACTTGGCACAGGCAAGTAGAAGTACCCACTGGAAGCATCCCCACATCTAGCCCAGATGGCAGAGGCCAGCCCCTGTGGGGACTGGAGGAAGCCTGTAGGTAGAGATCAGAGCTCTTCAGCTCAGCTGTAGCTGTCAGACCCTGGCAGCTCCCCACCCTAGTCTCTGAGTATTGGAGCCAGGCGCAGAGGCCTCCTCCCTCAGCAGGCAGATGGAACCTTCTTAACTTCAGGCAGCAGACCCAGGCTTTACTGGAGGTCCTTTTCTTTTCCTCTCTTTTCTTTTATGGCTTTTTCATATGCAAATTTAATAGGAATTTAGAAAATGACAGTCCTTTTCATGGTTATTGTCTTGCAAACACATCAAAATTTTAGATTTTTTTCTTGAAATTTTTGTCTTCTTTTTTTCTTTGAAATAAAATGGATTGAAGACCCCTTTCTTACCTCCTGATTGCCACCTGCCCTTCTGCACCCCTTTTTAAACCCTGCTCCTTGGCCTCTAATCTGGTACCTATCACCTCCACTCCTGTCCTGTGGCCCTCTCCTCCTCAAGGCTCCCCATCCAGTGGTTCCTAGGCCCATGTTGCTCCCTCCCGCCCTGGGCTGAGGCTGACCTGCCAGACAGGGTCTGTGTGCTTCCCAGACTTGGGCGAGCTGCGGAAGGAAGGCTGGGCCTGGGGCTTCTTGAGATTGTAAATGGCCACGTTGCCATCATAGTGGCCCACAGCCACCAGGTAGGGGTGGTCCACGTGAATGTCGAGACACATGATGCCACTTTCACTGCTGAATATGTACTCAGGGAAGCTGGGGTTCTTCAGGCTGTAGAGCAGCAGCATTCCCCGGCTCTGCTTCATGAAGTCATCTATCAGGGAAAATGGGCAGCTCTGGTTGGTGGATCCATCTGCTCTGCCAGGGAGGTCCCCTTGCCCCACCCACAGATGGACAAACCCCGCCTTGTTCTGCGGTCAGGGAACACAGGATCCTCTCTGAGCTTCACCTCCTCCGACTGTGGAATGGAATAATGAGGTTTGCTCTGCTCCTTCTCAGGGGGGCTCATGGAAGGAGCCAACTACCAGGAAATGTGATCAGGCTTATTTGAGGACAAATCATTATTCTGCTTCATATTTCTCCCTGGATCTCAGAAAGGGAGAGACAGGTTCAGAGTTGCTAGGTGCAAAATGTGTGTGGGCTTGGAAGGAGCAGTGCCCCTGGCTGGAGTGCCCCTGGCTGGAGCTCATAGGTAGGTGCTGTCCCTAAGGTGTCTAAACAACACTCACATCCTCTCAGTTTTTCTACGGGGTCTTGCTAAGTAGTTCAGACTAGTTTTGACTCACTCTGTGGCTCAAGCTGGCATTGTACTCTTGATCCTCTTGCCGCAGCCTTCCAAGTACCAGGATTGAGGTGTGCACCACCGCACTTGACTAACAAGCAACTTTCTACAGCGAGTCTCACGCTAGCCACCTATGAGCATCTTCCCAGCCCTTGGGCCTCAGAGTGCTGCAGCCCACACTCTGGCTTCTTAAGAGGTCTCTGGTCAGCCTGTCAGGTTTCCATAAGTCCACTTGGCCTCAACAGAGCTTTTCAACAATGGACCATTCAATAGAGGTCCTCCTTCCCACCTGCCCCATGTCAAGAGACTGTCCCTGTCTATTTTTCACATACTTGGTGCCCATATACAGCAGTGATGTGCAGTCACTGAAAAGCACACAGTTCCAGCCCTTGAGACCAGTTCTCTGGCCACTAACCCAGATCTTTCTCGAGACTTAGAGGAGCCAGAACTAAGAAAGGAGCAAGGGCTAGTGTAACCTAAACCAAAGCAGCCTTTTGGCCAATATCAGATCCTTTCCTTCCCATCTTCTGTTTTGCAGGGCTATCTTCTTTGTCCTTAGCAACTGCAGGACCTGGGACCTCATGACAAAGTAACCAGTCTTCAGATATGTAGCCCAATGGCGAAGGGGACAGGAAAGAAACCCCAACTTACTGGTTTTGCTGACATGTTCTTTCTGTCTTATTGTTAAGGTTGTCCCTTACTCAAAAGGGTTAATTTCTGGGTTTAGCTCAGGGATAATGCAGACCCAGGTCCCTGGGCGCATGGCATGAGTTTAGATACCGTAGCATTCCATGTAGTCCTGCCCCAGGCAAAGACCCTACCTACTCTGCAAACACTAATCTATGCTCTAACTTGGAATGGGAAACTACCAAGAATCAGGTTAGAAAGGTATAGTTGGAATCTGAGACAACCTGGCATGTTGACCGGAGTAGCTCCCTGTGAGAAGCCTTCCTGGGGCTAATCTCCACCACCTCTGGGACTCCCTGGATCACTTTCAAGGAAGGCCACTGTTACGGCTTATATCTAGGTGCCCTGAAAGCCTCATACACTCATAGGTGGGGACAATGCTAGCAATTGGATCATGGGTGTATGATACTGGAATAGTCTACTCATTGGTTTAGCATGATTCTCGGTGTGAATGATGATATTACTGTAGAAGGAACATCCATGCTGGGTGTGAATGACACCAACCAATAGGTTTGTAGCCTGAATGGAATAAAAAGGGAGAGAAGAAGGAAGGCTACTGCTTCCTGCCTGCCATGCCAGGGGCTGTTTCTCCCCTGCCGTGCCACCTGCCTTGGAGTCATCTGACTATGAATTGAAACCTCTACAAACTGTAAGCTAAAATAAATCTTTCCTCCTTTAGCTTGTGGGTATTGGAATTTTGACTCAGCAGCAAGATGGTAACTAAGCCACATAAGCAATGAGGAGGTTGTAACTGGGGTGGAAGTTTCCAGGGTCAATCCTGAGAGCACGATGCATGGTTCAGGAGACACAAGATACCTTTGCTCTGAGAAAGTGAGCCTTCTAGCAAAGAGGAGCAGCTTAGAAGCTTCCAGATCCCCTGGTGCCTAAGCTGGGTCATCCGTGCCTGGCTCCATCTCAAAGGCAGGAGGGTCTATCCTCCAGGTAGATGGGGAGAAGCTGGCACTTGGGGTTCCAAGATGGATCCTAGGGTTGAGTCTCCAAGAGAGATCTGAAGCTGGCTAAGGGTGGTACTTGTCCTGCCTAAACATGAAGGCCTTGAGCCAAACAGTGTGACAGTCATTTTAGCTCCTTCTGCTCATCAAGGAAACTCTAAGCACCTGCTCCAGGCCTCCGCTGGGCTGCCCCCTCCAAGGCCAGACATTTCACTCCCTAGGTCATGCAGCTCAATGAGGAACCAATGGGCTAAATTCAGGCCAGAGGTCAGACTGGTACCCTGATTCCAGTCTGTCCCCATGCTGGTCAAGACTGGCAGAGGGTGAACTGGTGAGCTGGTAAACAAGACAGTGAACGAATGTGTGCTCAAGCTGAGGACTCAGGTGGACCTTAGGACACAGGCGAACACGACCCTACCAGTTCCCCCTACTGTGTACAGGGCATGGGACCTGAGAGAGAACAGGGATTACGCACTTTCTCTAGACAACCTCCAAATGGCCCCTGCTGTTACATGCGTGCACAAGATCATGACCATAACCAGCGAAGCCAGGACAGGAGGGATCCATCCCTGGCCAGCCCTCAACTGGCTTAATAACTGTATTGAGGACATTTCTTGTCCACTCACAGATCAAACGGGACTCCTGATTTTACAGATAGAGAAACCGAGGTCCAGAGGACAGAATCAGAACACTGATCATGATATATGTCAGTCACATGATGTCAAGATCCTTTTCATGCTAAGGTTATCCTACTTGAGTAATCTTTATTTGGAACTGGAGAAAGGAGGGCAAAGGGGCACCAGACCTGATGGAGTGATGGTTACCGGCAAAGCCAATCCAATCCCTTCACAGTATGGACAGGGCAGTTAAACATGATAAAAGGGAACAACCTGCAGGGCAAAGCATGGATTTTACGAGAGAGGGACAGTTAGAAACTAACCACACCAATTCTCAGGCTACATGTATGCTGACACTAAGCTGTACTTCTTCAACCTGGCTTTAATGGACTTTATTACTTACAAGCAAAGGAATCCTCTTTTCTTTTTTAATTTTAACTTTTTATTTCTTTTCTGTTTGAGATAGCGTCTCACTATGTAGTTCAGGATGGCCTTGAACTCACTAAGTCCAGCCTGGCCTTTGAACTCATGGAGATTTTCCTGCCTCAGCCTTCTGAGTGCTGGGATTATCATGTGTACCATCATTACAGCCCACCAAAGAGGGTTAGATTAGGCTTAGGGTCTTATCATGACTAGACTACATGTTTCCTGAATTCTGACTCAGGGCTGTTCCTATCAAAGCACACCAGGAAAATATAGCAAACCATCATTTAGTTGGGGTTTCTTCTCAGCTGCGTTTTGCACAATGAGCTCACCTCTGATTCCTCTCTGAGACCGACCTCATTATTCCATTCCCGGACATCCCTAACATGGCATCCCAGCTGTTACAGCTCATGCCTCAACGACCCTAGAGCCTCATGTACCTGTGGGCAGTGCTTTTTGGAAGTGGTTAGATCACAGTGTTGGGATTAAGGGAGTTGATTACTAAATTAGTCCACCAATTGGTTTGGCACAGCTTTGGGTGTGAGTAATGGGAAGGCCACCCTGGCTGTGGACAGTACTGCCCAAAGGGCGGGCAGCCTGGAAGGGATAAAGGGGCAAGGCAGGCTGCTCCTGCAGCTGCTTTTCTACTTTGCTGCTTTTCTGCCTTCTGCCCACCATGAACTGTTTCTCTTCTGGAACACACCTCCACCACGCTACTCTCCCTTGGAGCCAGTCAACTATGAGTTCATAGCTTAAACCTTTACAAACTGTGAGCCAAATAACCTTTTCCTTCTTTAACTTTGGGAGTTGGGTTATTTTGTTTCAGCAATGAGAAAAGTGATGAAGGCACAACCCGATCTCCAAATGAAAGTGTCATCTTATCTTCCAAAAGGCTGTGATATCATGACTCAAACCACCAGTGATCCTCACCTGATGTCATCACTCATGACATCACTGACTGTCCTCCAGCGCCCCCAGTATGTCATTACCAGGAGGGGCACCAGCTTAGGCATCTCACATTCTCAGTATGACATCACTAGCCTGGTCACTGACAGCCTAGTATGACATTAGCATTGAGTTCACTCACCTACGGCACCTCAGTTTCCAATGGAGTCTAAGAGCTCCACTGGAATCAAAGCTTGCAGAGTTTTGGTTCTGGGCCATGGAGTGCTTTGGTTTCAGGCACAAACTCTAGAGAAGGACTAGAGGGGTCAATGACCCAGATGGGAGTCTCTAATCCCACCCTTTATTGTGTAAAGAAATACAGACTCAAGTCTAGGGCCAATGAAGGAATTCTTAGGCTTTACGAGGCCGTAAATTTTGGCCAGGCCACAAATACTTATTGAAAGTAAGTAAACATTTGTGGCTGGGTAGAATGGAAGGAGGGGAAGAGAGGAGAAAGGAAGAGAGAGAGAGAGAGAGAGAGAGAGAGAGAGAGAGAGAGAGAGAGAAATTGATGGCTGGGACTGACCCCTGATTACTACTTTGTGCATCTGCTCTTATTGCCTCTTTAATCTGCTTTTACACCTTCCCACACCGTCTAGGGAGCCTACTAGTCCACAAGGGCTCCTCTGGGAGGTCTCCGATGTCATTCAGTCTCCAGGGTCACCTCTCATGTGAGTCCCTACTCCATCAGAGCTCTGAGCAGGGCTTTCCCTCGGCCTGCCACAAGGGACAGAGGCAGCGCATTCTGGTTTGCTCCATGGGAGTCTCATTCCTTTTGGAGACAGAGTCACCTCCTGCTAACCCTGCCCTGCTAGATGATCACTGAGGCCCCCTTAACTCTGCCCCTGAACCATCCATAAGATTTGGAGGGAGGGAATCTTTTTAATTAAGGGAAAAATAAATAAAA